TTTTGAATTTAACAACTCAAACACGATTTCAAGGCGAACAATGGGAACACTGTACGAAAAAAAAAAAAAAACATTTCTATCTCCAGTGCGCGAGCCTGTGTATCGGAAATTCTAAAGATATGTTTATTTTAAAATTATTTTACGATATTGCTTTTGAACTGAATTTTATGTTGTAAGTGTGAAGAAAATGATATTTAATAAATAAAGGTAATGTAATTAAAAAAAAAAAAAAAAGCGCCTTTGGAAGTACCTTAAAATCTGAAACCTTTCAGATTTTTTTTTCTGTACTTTACTAAGATAGTATTGTGATTTATTTCAGATTACGTGAGCAATGCTGATTGTTACCGATCTCTTCTTAGTACAGCGGAGGCATGTGAAAATCACGCAGGATCCATTTTTCAAACGTATAAGCAGTACCAACAATCAGATACCGAGGAAATGGAAGAAATGAAAAATGGACGTTACAGATACTGTTTGTAAGTATTGAAGAAATTTGCTTCAATCAACAATATCTCTTCGAGTAGAGGACCTTTTTAAAACGTTTTAAAATTATCGTTATAGAAGAAATTGAAAATATTGTGCATAACATTACCAAATAATTGAGTAAAATCGCTTTTTCTGCGACGTCCACTATCAGAACTGTGTGAAGCTACTTTCAATTATTTGTTTAATCAGCTTCGAAAACATTGCTACAGTAAATAAATTTTGCTAATATAAAAGTTAATCTTTAATTTATTTTAATCTTTATCGGAACCATATGCAAAAAATAAAAACATAAAAATATCACCAATTCGAAAAATTATTTGTCATAAATCGTATCTGCTGAAATTTCTCTAATCGGATTCCTTATTATTTAAGAGTTAATATTTTTGATATATGAATGTATAACTTAAAAATAACATTTAAACTAATGTGAACCCAGAGAAAGAAATACGTGTATTAACAAAAAACACGAAATATACTCCAAAGTCTTAATTAAATTAAGCTCCTATCTGAACTTCTTCACCGAATTGTAAAAAAAATATCCATAATGTAATAACCAGCTCTTAGATGGCATAACAGATGGAATGCCCTGTGCCAGGATATGTAATACCGCAAGGGAGAAAATACCTTATGGTTTCTTGATAAAAATGGAGAATTTTAAGCTTTCTGAGGAAGAGTTTTGCCAGTGTGCATTCGTCATTTGCATTAGAGGGAAAAGAATATATTCCACTTGATAGCCTGTTTTTATGGTTTATTTTACATTTCTATCTTCCCAAAGTCTTCCTTAAGGGGACTCATACACCTTGAAACCCAAAAGATCTTCGAATATGTGAATGTTGCAAGAATTGAGATAACGTATTTATTTTAAAAGTAATTAATTCCAACTTTTTACATCTGACTACGCAATATAAGCTGCTTTCTGAAATAGTAATCAGAAAGTTTTTGTTGCCAAAAATAGTTTTATAATTTAATCCGCTTTGTGACAAAATGTTTCGTCATGTTTCCACCTTGCGCGCACAGTTTAAAACATTCTATTGCATAATTTAATTCCATATTTAATATATAGATTTTATAACATTTCGAAATTACTGTGAACCAATTCTAAGATTCCATGTTAAATTTTTTTTTATTTGGGGTGATTTATAAAATGTATTTATTAAAAAAAACCTGTAATGCTTTCGTGCATAAATTTTTTAGTATTAAAATATTCATCAGATTTTTGATTCAGTTAGAAAACAGTGCCCATATAAAGAACTTCATCCAATTTCAAGTACGTACCGTCAGCCATTTTTAAAATATCGTGAGCGCAAAGTGGAAACATGACGAAATATTTTGTCACAAAGCGGACTAAATTACAAAAATATTTGCGGCAACACAAACTTTCTGGCTACTAGTTCCCAAAGCAACTATAAAATGCAGTCAGCTGCAAAAAGTTGGAAGTAGTTGCTTTTAAAATAAATAAAATATCCCAATTCTTGCAAGGGACATATTCGGAGATCATAAGGGGTTTAGGGTGTATGAGCCCCCTTAAGTCAGAATGAAAGGTGTGCAACTACACACGTTAAATACCTCTAATAAAGTAGGTATTTCGAGAAGGAAATGTAACGCCCGTAGTCAAATTTTGGGAATATAAATAAACCTCCCTCTTATTTCCTTCCTTAAATAATAGTTTTAGACATGTGAAGGTAAACTTGCAATATTTCTCAAAACAAGGTAGAGAATTTCGTAGAAACCGTTTAAACATTGCAATGCGAATTTTCTCTAAATTTTAGTATGATCGCAAAGTAATGCAATACTTGAGCTTGTTAAACTTCAAGTACATAAAAATAAACTAAAGCGATAAAGAAATTGAAATTTTCACAAATTGCTGTAACATTGATACCCAAAGACTCACATCTCCAATTCCACTGTATTTAAAAAACAAATTCGTTTTTTTTTTACCCATAATGGTGCCATTACTCATAATGCTTCATAAATTCTGCCCGCTAAAAACTGCTGCAGAAGCCAATTAATGATTCGTTTATGAACGTAATCGAATGTTATCAGGAAAGGGATATAGAAGAGTGATTTAAGAAGCGTCAAACGGAAATTTTAGTCTGAAATACGAGCCTAAAATGTAGAGTCATTAGAACTTTTTTGATGTGAGAGACTTGATAAATGAGCAATGCCCTCGCCTGAACTCGAACCTGAACTTCTCGATTACACGCCGAGTGTGCTAACATTACACCACGAAGGTATGCAGAAAAGAGGGCGAAAATACCCTATAAGATGTGAGCTTCTGACGTAGGTTCAAAATGTGATAAAATAAAATCCACGTATTACCAGTGAAGAAGTAATTGGAAGGCTTCGGTATGCTGATTCAACAACAAAATATAATTATAAACCAGTGGTTCCTAAAGTAGTCCCTACTGACCCCCAGGGGTTCTTGGGGTCCGTGACAAACTAAAATTGATTTTGAGGTCCCTGAAAACGTAAGAGTGTCCGCTCAAGTTTTAATATAAAATAGTAAAATTGTGATCTATTTTTATTACTATGAAAATTTAAATAAATAACGATTTTTAAGGTTTTAGTAAAATGTAAATATAGGTGGGTGTTTAAAATACAGTATGCTACTCAAGTACTGAGCGTTATGTAATATCTTTTGTGAATGAACAATGACAAAACTTATTTCCACTGATTTGTCACTTGTAGTAACAGGGGTGCGTATAAATTGTTTTAGTGTTATTTGTCAAATTTAAGGTTTCAGTTTTCATCAGCACGCTAACGAGAACATAACAACACAATAATAACGAAATAACAAAAAAAAAAAAAAAAAAAAAAAAAAAAAAAAAAAAAGAAACCGACTAGAAATTAGTGCTCGTGCGGATTTGCGGTTGCTACTCACAAACATTGAGCCGGACATAAATACACTTATAACATCTCATCAAGTTCATCCAAGCCATTAATTGTTTTTATTTTATTTTAAAAAGTTTAATTTTAATAAATACTTCTTCAACAATTTTTTTAGTTGTAATTTTTATTCTACGCATTTATGTAGCTTTTTCACTTGGGTGTCCGTAGACAAGTTTTGAGTATAGAAAGGAGTCCATGGGTCAAAAGGTTTGGGTACCACTGTTCTAAACGAATAGGAAAGCTTTTTATAGCGCTGGTATTTGAGGTTTACATGAATCCGTTGTTGGGAACTGCATCGATCTGAACTTCCAAGGTATCGACGGGAATCCGTATCGATTTGTATTTATCTCTTCACAAGGAATGAAGTGAAACCTTTTTAAAGGCCTATCGTATCGTGAAAAAAGACGGAAATAAATCTTTTATGCTAATGGAATTCAAAAACGATTGTGGCTGAGGCCAAGAGAAAGGCTAAGCAACATAAACCGGAATAGCATCTATAGATTGATCTGCATATGGCGGGTGTACCAAATGTGTGATTTATTTTGATTGGTCTGAAAATGACTAAATCAATTAAATCGCATAATGCAGACGTGTATTGCAATCCAATTAAATAACTTGAAATGGAATTCACAAAAAAGATCTCTATATTGGTTAAAAGACCCGAAGTGATTTCATAGCAAGATAATACAAAATCACTTACTGTAAGAGTTACTGGACGAAAACGTAATGAAAAATTCTTAAGAGAAGTTCAAAAAATGCAATAAATAAACGTTTCGAAGCAAAACCAAAAGAATTCTTCAAAGAGGACACAAGTCGACTGCAAAAATAGACAACAATCACAGAACATGATGGGTGTGAGTGTGTGATTATGGCAAAGCCTCGAGGGCTGTCTGCCTACGGGGAGGGATGCCTTCGTGGAGAACTTTCTAAGGGAAACTGGCTCGTATACATGTTACACATGGGGAAAACCACAGAACATGATGGGTACAATATTATTAATTAAACTTATTCAGCAATACTTTCTTTTTTTGGAAAATATTTGCCACTAGTCTGCATTACTTTCCGATCAACACACTTGCCAGTAAGTCTTTTGAGCCGAACAAATAGAAAAATAAGTCAGAATCTATTCTTCAAAATTCCTGTTTTATATATTACATTTTTGTTTACTGTAAGATGGCACAAGCGGCGTCTACTGTTTAATATATAGCACCAAGAACATTTGCCTACACAAATATGAGTAAAATTACTGTTTTCAAAATCTAATAACTCTTTCCTCCAATAGCGTACAAGCTTATAAGGTAGCATGCCTGTCCATAAGAATCAACCTGCAATGCGGAGAGCTCGCCCGGAGCACATTCCTGGATATAGTGCGGCGTTCCAATCACTTGAAGCAATACTGCTCGCAAACAATCAAAGAGGACTTGCAGACACGTTTCTTGGATTTCACTGGACTGGAGGGCGAACAAAGAGAACTCATGGCTGACGCATTCAATTTCAAAAGGAAATAAAATTAATAAATAATATTTGCATACAGCACGCTGTAAAAATATTTTTGTTTTTTTACTCCGTTGTACCGATCTTTAATAAAGCGGACTTTCATTCTTTCAGGTGCTGAACTAAAATTTTTTGCTATTTAAAACTTAAATTTAAGACACAAATTTCAGGGTATCCAGTTTAGGAGTAGACAGCGCTTTTCAACATTTAGACTAACGCGTACCATCTAAATAAAAAATGAAAACCTTTACTGCCACCACTACAAAGTAATACTACCAACAACACTCTTGAACAAAGCTCAGATCGCATAAATTTACGAGTATTAGAGAGAAAAATCAGGATGTTGGGGGTTTTAATTTTTGAATTTAATAGTTCAAATACTTTGAATCTTTGCGTACCACCAATTTTTCTCTTGCGTACCACCAGTGGTAGGGGTACCACCGGTTGAGAACCCCTGTTGTAGACCCTCACAGAGATAGTAAACATGTTTCGATATATATCTTGCTTACACCCATGTTGCCGTTGATATTCCTTCAGTTTAGTTAATTTGTCCACACATTTCATCATTCCCTAGCAATCGTATTGAGATCTTCTTTCTGTATATCCTAGATAGTAGCAGTGACGTTTATTTTCAGCTTACAGAGCTTCCTTTCCAAATATCCTGAAACACTATACGGGTCACTATACATATCAAGTTATCTTGAAAACGTAACTCGGTAAAAAAATTAATTATTTAATCCACCCAAACCTATCAAAATAAAACTATCAAATCACAGTCACACTATCGAAACAACAGTCAAGGAGTGACTCAGAATGTGACTGTGGTTAACATTTACTCACTGTAAATGATTTTATTACGTACATTTAGGCTTCAGAAGAATAGCTTCCTCCCGAAAATAAAATGCTTTATGAATCTCCATCACATATACCTCATATATGAATTAGATAATCAGCGTAAAATATATACGAAACCTTCTAAGTATTCTTAAAAGTGAGTTCGTTCCATTTTAAAATCGGCTTTAATTATAGCTTAAATCGAAGGTATATTATTATTACGTCAGGTTGTAGAAAGTAAGGCTCTAGAAAATGAAGCCTTGGTTAAAAGAAGTCTATACTAATGTTTCTAGCAAGTTAATACAAATTTTTACATATATAATTTATTAAAAAGTTACCTTTTGTTTTTGTTTTTTATGCTTATAATTCTCCTTAATGCACCCTTAAGCACCTTTCAACACTCTGAAACTATTGACTTTCATACCATTTAACATATTAATAGCATATCACTTAACATATTATAGGAACCGGGAGACTGCATTAAAAGTTAGATTTCCTTATTTGTCCAATTTCTTTAAATTTGACATCGCCAAAACATGAATATTTTCGTCCTTTAAAGCTTTTCTGTAATTAGAAGTATGTGGCTAAGACCAACGACTGCGAAAGTAAAAGCTAGGTAAGAAATTTTAAGCCGCGTTAGGGGTGGGAATACATACAGGGTGATTCTAAATTGCTTTTACAAATTAAGAGGGGTGATAGTACTCATCCAGAGGAGCAATAATTACCATAGAACATAAGGTCGCATTCCATCATGACAAGCAGAAAAGAGGAGTATTAGAATTCCAACCAGATCTAACAATAGTATTGGGAGAGCGAATGAACGAGACCAAAAATTGCACAATCAGTTTAGTGAAAAATTTTTACTGAGAGTGCACAAAACGGATAAAACCGAAAACTTGGCTTTCGAATATTAATTCGAGCTCAGACTTTAATGGCAAACCCTCAAATGCACATCTTTGGTTCGCAAGGTCTCAACCTCGCAAACGATTGCAACAAGTTAATTATCTAATCAAGGGGTGAATATTATCAACTAACTCCAACCTTCGCTGTATGCCGACATTGCCGTGAAACTTTCATGCTGCATTTTGGATATTACAACTTCGTTTCACATAGAAGGGTGCTTCCAGTAAAATGAGCGCAGCACAGTATGTCCAGGACGAACAGGATAGAAGATGACGAAGGGAGCGGGAAAGTGATACTTTGAAAAAATATTAAGGTATCCAGCCATTAATTAGATAATTAACTTGTTGCAATCGTTTGCGAGGTTGAGACCTTGAGAACCAAAGATGTACATTTGAGTATTTGCCATCAAAGTCTGAGCACGAATTAATACTCGAACCCCAAGTTTTCGGTTTTATCCATTTTGTGCACTCTCTGTGAGTTTTTCACTAAACTGCTTGTGCAACGTTTGGTCTCTTTCATTTCGCTCTCCCTATACTGCTGTAAGTTCGGGTTGGAATACTAATATTCTTCTTTTCTGCCTCTCAGAGTGGAGTGCGACTCTATGTTCTACGGTAATTATTACTCATCTGGATGAGTACTATCACCTGTCTTAATTTATAAAGACAATTTAAAATCACCCTGTATATGTATGTCTGGTATTGGCGTTTGCAATAAAAAAGGCAGACGCACAGCCGATGTTATAGCAGTCCCATGTACAAATTTTCAACGTTCTACAGCTATTGAATTATGCGAAATACATACGGACGCACAGACGTCAAGAAAAAATATATTTTACAATCCATTCTGGGAGGAAAAAAACCATCCTTTATTCTGTGCGTGCGTATAAACATTATGCAAAACAAATTGTATAAATGGATTCGGGAACTGTCAAAATGGATATTTGGGGGGAAATATGATATCCGAAATTTTTTGCGATTACAATCCCTTCTTTACTTCCTACAAGGAAGTAAAAAACTCTTCATATTGAAGCTTCTACATGAGACGAAGAATTATCGCTAGAAACATGGAAGAGATCGAGGTTAATGGAATGTAAGCTCCACTGCATAAAAATGATCTTCAGGAGCTGAGTAATTTTATATAAACAAAGAAAAGCATATGTGTATTTCCTTAAATTAAATTTCTTGGAATTATAGTATTATATTTATCTCCTTGCAGATGTTATTATAAATCCAAAATATTAAGTCTACTTGTTTGGAAATGCATTCAAATACGTTTGTGCTAAATACTCTATGACATTTTAATGTTCTAGTATATACAAGTATGTCGAAAATAAGCAGTTACATTAATAAAAAGAAATTAGTTTTATTTTTAATGTAATCGGGAAAAATTTCGGGTATCTTATTTCAAGGACATTTTGACAGCTGTCGAATTCTTTTAAATGATATTTCTGCGGGATATCTTTACGTACGTACAGGATAAAGGACTATTTTTTTCTCAAAACGGATTGTAAAATGGATTTAAGATGTATTCAGAAGATATTTTTCGTGATGTCTTTACGTTGGTACGTACGCATAACTCAACGAGTAACCTCGGAGCGTTGAAATTTTATATATGAGACTGCTAGAACTAGTAGCTATGCATCTACCGTTTTGGTTGCAATGGGCAGTACCAAAAGTATATAATGGTATACTTCTGATACTCCATTACTCGGCTCAGTGAGCTCAGTTTTTTTATTCTTATTACATTGGTAAATTGTGCGTTTTTTGCTTTGAAAGCGACGGAATTATGTTTTTTTATAAATGTTTTATGCCTTTATTTAATTTGCATGCAGTAGCTGTAGAATCATCAACAGTTTAAAAGTTATTAAGTGCTACTAAGCCTAACGAAACCTATAACTGTTTACATTTGAAACTGTTATTAGAACAGTAAATTAAGTCAGTTTCTGCACCAACTACAGTGTCTTTTTGCAAAGTGGGACTAAAAGTAAACTTTCCGTTTTCTGCACCAAAAAATCAGTCTTCCTGCCCAACGGTGCCATTGCTTGTTTTGCGTAGAAACTCTAATCTCAGTTGTAAATTTCTTAAAACTACTTTTAACTATATTTGGTGATTTAGGCGTTTCTGTATTTTACAATTTTTAATGAAGATGTTTTGACGTTTTATGTATTTTTGCCTTGCCGCAAAATGAGAACAGAATTAATTGAATGAGAAATATATCTCTAATGAAATTCGAGGAAACAAGTTTAAATGAAACGCAGCAAAAGATGTGTATGATTTAATACGGCGTATAAAGAAATCATGTGGCGTCCACATTAGATTTTGTGTGTGTGTGTGCCGCGTCAGCTAAATTTTACCGTCTTCTGAACTGATCTTATTTATTCATACAAATTCAGTAAAATGAATAAAAATTAATTTACAGGGTGAAAATTAAAAGTAACTCATCGGAAGTATAATTACATAAGTCTATAAACTGCATTTACTTGTATATTAGGAAAGGTTAAACGACTACCATCAGGAAACACCGCAATATTTGTCCACCATCATCTCGAAAGTCTGAATAAACCAGAAAACGTTTTATGGCTTATGTCTGAAGCGCGCAGATATATTGCATATTTTATGCTCCGGTGCGTAATGTTATGGCACATTTTATGTACATATGCAATCCTTTTTGCGCTTTTTCTTCTCGAATCCGTCGTCGTTCTCGAAGAGACACGTAGAAACGTTGTTGCTAATAAACAAGGCACGCATTATTTCTTTCATATTTTCTATGTTACTTTACAACATCTGCCATTTCCTGGCTTCCATTAAAGATGACGACCGATTAAAGAACGAAGGAGTAAGAGTATGCGGCATGAAAGAATGCGTTTTATAAATAAATAGCATTACTGACGAATGCGTATACAAGGCGTCAAGGAAAATTATGTATCAAAACAATACCTTAACAGATATTACGTTTTTCCTCTCTGTATATATCCTGGAATTTAGGTAATACGTTGATGACGTTAGAAGAAAAATTAAAACGAGTTTTGAAGTTGAAACGAGTTTTCACCTGTTGTATTATTATTTGGCAGAGTGTTTTAAATGATGAAAATTTTTATAAAACTTTAATGGTTAACAAATAATGGACTTTAACTTTTAATGCGGTCTCCCGCTTCCTTTACTTATATTTGGGAAAGTTTTAAACTCGTTGTGAAAAAAATAAAGTTATAAGAAATATGACTAACGTACGACAAAAATTCATTGGCATATTTCATTTCAAAATTTGCAATTTTCGATGTCATTTTCAACTTGATTCGAGGGATCGGTTTATTAAGTTTGAATAATTCGAGGAAATAAGTTTAAATGAATTTCAGCAAAAAATGCGCAAAAACTGATAG